TCCTTGTTTATCGATATTTAAAGAACTTAAACCTCCCCCACCTAATATATTGTGAAGGAAATTGATCAAATAAGTATAAAATAGAAAAAAATTACAATGAAAAAATTAATATTCACAATACTTGCCTAGACATTTAGTCAACACAAAATTCAATCCATTACAACCAGGTAATTCGTATCTCTTAACTACACCTCTACATAAATGGATCATGTAGTCTTTGACTGCCTATAATAGAGTATATATTATTAATCGAAACGGTACTTATAAATGCGGAATTAATGAAAATAAAATTCATGAATAATAACCTCCTCAGTCAATGAATTTCTCAACAATGGATAATATTTAGGTTCACGTGCCAAGATTCCTACAAAAAAAAAAAAAAACCATTAAAGATCATAATATATAACATAAATACATGTACATACTTTTTTATATACGATAATCACTCACCAATGTTACAAACATCACCTTTATCCCCACTTCTTCCCCATGCCAATTTTATTAAAGGTACTTTAATCATAATTCCGCTATCGATTTCGTAATCCATTTCATTTAGAATTTCTGATAATGGAAGTGGCGGTGGTATTATATTATCATTATGAGTAGGACCATCAAAAGTTACCTTTTCTGCTGATTTATTTCCAACAATAACAAATGACGAAACTGAATCTTTTGATATCAACCGTGCAAAGTGTACAAGACACGGTGAAGGATGAGGACGCCCTAATCCACTCCCTTTATGAAGAGGAATTAATAATAGATACAAGTAGACGAAAGTTCATTATATAAGGACACGAAAAATTACCAGCAATTCCCGGTGCCATGCTTGTAGCTGACTACAGAATAATCCAAGATTAAACAACCAATTACACTTATTAAACATAAATGAATTATAATTGATTTGTGCTTACGGGAGCAAGTTCCATCCCAAAAATTTTTACAGCTTCTAACTTATCATGATGAACAGTAATATTTAACACAACTTCACGGGTATTACGAGTTTTGGCATGACCTCTAATAATATAAATAATAATCGTTAACAAAGTTAAATTACAATCGTTAACAGATTTAAATTACATGATTGTTAACATTGTAAACAGGTTTAAGTTACAATTGTTAACAGATTTAAATTACAATTCTGGACAAACGTACACAAGCCACATACCCATAAGTATGTTCAGCTCCTAATACTTCGACGTTAACATCTCTATATTTGCCCAAGTTGTGTTTTTCAAACAACACACGTGTCTTCATGAGGATAGCGTGTGCGACAGCTGCTGCCTAAAACAATATTAAAATTTTCGAAATATATTGAAATAAAAATATCAACAATAAAAAATCATACCTTCTTCCATGCATCAATGCCACCAATAACCAATTGTCCAGTCATTTTAAATCCATCCAAGTAAATTCCAGAAACTTTCAAATATTTTGTTGGTGCTCGACCTTTTGCACCAGTAACCAAAACTTTATTATCTCCTACTTGCTTCAACTTTACATCTCTCAGATCCAAAATTACATCTGGTAAAATATATGCACCGGGATCTAATATTTCATATACCATTTGTTCACCAACTGTCGCTGGTGTTACAAGTCCACCAGTATCTTTGGGTTTAGTAACAAAAAATTCACCACTTTTGAAACATTCGATAATTGGATAACCCATATTATTCCATCCACCACCGGGTGAAAAGACACTTTCTTTCCAATCAGTAAAATTACCACCAGTTGCTTGACATCCACATTCTATAATATGGCCAGCTAATGATCCAGAAGCTAACAAATCCCAATCATTATGGGGATTCCACATAAATTCATGAATTAATGGACCTAATACTAACGCACTATCCACACAACGCCCAGTAACTACAATATTAGCACCTGATTTTAATGCATTAACAATTGGAATGGCACCAAGGTATGTGTTAAGTGAAATAACCTTTTTATCACGAAGTGGAAACCATTCAGTATCTTCAGAATTTCCTTGAATATGAGTAAATTTAAGTAATTCATCATCATTATTCACTTTGTCCAAAATATCATCACCTGTAACCGCGGCAACAATTACTTTGCTTTCAAGATTAAAATCTTTGACTAAATTTTCAATTGCTGATTTACATGCTAAAGGATCCAAACCTCCAGCATTAGTAACTATTTTAATGTTATATTTGACGATTTGGTGTAGTAGAGGTCGTAGGACATGGGTGATAAATTCGGAAATGTAACCACTTTCGCTAGCACCTTTTAAGTTTTTACGTTCTGTTGCTTTCTGATTACGGTTACGTGCAAGTAGTCCTATTGTCACTTCTAGAATTTTAAAAGAATTGGTTTTTAATAGTTGAATTGTGAAAGGGAATTAATTTACAGTATAAGGTTCGTTAATTCTCGTTTACCAGAAAGATAATCTCCAACCAAGTAATCTAACGCGCCTTTCTCCAGTCTAACCAGTTGTTCCGCTGCAGTAACAGAATCACCCCAAAAAGCGCTAGTAAATGTGGATTTAATTTTTATAAAGACCGGTAATCGTAACAATAAATGTTAAAAGAGACATGAATACCTATAACAACCAATACGAATAGGCTTATCTGAACCCATAATTTTTGATAAGGGACGTGTCAGATATTATCCGAGATCAAATTTACTATAAAGCTCACCCCCCTCCATTCTGAGAAATTTTGTCTATCTCGATCTCCCTCTCACTCTCACCTTACGATATCAGCTGATATCTTTCACTTCCCTAAATCGTGTGAAAAGATCTCGTAATCACGTGAATAACTAGAATTAAACGACATTTAGCGTTAACATTTTAATTATCCATAAAATGAAATTATATTCCAAAAGTTTCGGTACAAGGCTACAATTTTCTTACTTTTCTTATGATTATAAAAGACGTGGATATCTATTAAATTTAGGACATAATAGAAAATGGACTAATTTAGAAGATAATATACTCTTAAGGCGTGCTATTATGTGTGGTTTTAAACATTGGGGTGTAATTTCTCGTGGTTTATATAAAAGAAATTCATTAGAATGTTTTTATCGTTGGAGAAAACTTCGAGTTTTAATAGATTGGTCTTATACAAAAAATTTTTTCTTTACTATTAACGAATTGAAAACTTTTTGGAGATTAGTATCTAAATATGGAACCGCCTGGAAAAAAATTTCAGAAAATTTTCAAAATAAATCAATAACACAATGTAAAGAACTTTATCATGATATGCAAAGATTTTCAATTATAAATAAACAACTTGCACCTGTGAGTTATAAAAAAATTTCAGATATAGTACAAAAAGTTGAACAAAAAGAAGATAATTTAAAGGAGAATAAAAAAAAGATAATTTGGTTGACTGATGAAGTCAAAAAATTAAAGAGTCTTGTGAGAGAACAATCATTTAATGATGTTAACTGGCGTAAAATAGCGATCAAATTTCCAGGAAAAAGTCCATATCAATGTAGAGATAAATGGAAAGGAACGTGGGATGAAATAGAAGATCAAGTTCTCAAGGATATAGTGAAAAAATACGGAGATGATTGGGAAACAGTAGCTGAACATATTGATGGACGAACACCAAACATGTGCCGAGATAGATGGCAAATAATTAATCCAGATAAAGTTAAATATAAAAGATTTTCAGAAATGGAACGACAACTTTTAGAATATATTATAGTTAATGAGTGTCCTTTATGGAGAGGAAGAAGAATTAATTGGAAATATATATCAGAAAAATATTTTCCGAATCGTAGTAATATAGAATTACTAGATTATTGGAGACATTATCGTAATCCCAATAATTGGACTCAAGAGGAAGATGAATTACTTCGTCAGGAAATGAAAGAATATAGTGGACCACCTGAAAGTATGTGGGAAAATATTTCTAAAAGCATAATCGGACGAACAGCATATCAATGTCGTGAAAGATGGTTTCATGCAGCAAACCCTGAGCTCAAATTTGGACGTTGGAAATTAGAAGAATGTATTGCATTAATTAATGAGATTAAACGGCATGGAAAACGATGGAACATAATTAGCATGAATTTAAAACGACCATACCATAATGTAAGGAAAAAATATAGGAATATGGTAAAATATAATGATAGATTCATCAAGACTTTGCGACATCAAGAACTGACAGATCCTGATGAATTGAATGCAAAATAATTTTGTAAACTTAAAGCCTTCAGAGATGCTGCTTTCAGATGATGTTTCATAATAATTTGTCAAGAATGAATATCGGTAATATTGAGGTTTTCTTGTAGAATAAGATTATTTACTCTGTATAATATTGAAATAAAGCTTTCAAATTAAACCGTAAAGTAGCTTTATATAATATTTTTTAAATATTAACGGTGAGCCACTTAATATATATTTTAGAAGCAAGTTTAATTATAAAGTATTATACTTTTTTAAGTCTAACACAATTTTAATACGTATCAAACTAATATAAAATTTAATATCATTATAAATATGTATTATTCCTTAATAATTTTACAGAAAAGTTTTGTCAGCCATTTTCATGATCGAATTGTGTTATCAATCTATATTGAATCTAAGTCCATAGGCTACATTATGAGAGTGGGACGTTAACTTTGTAAAATTGAATTATACACAATACTTTGGTAAATTCAATATGATCATATATAAAACAAGTCACTTACGTAGTAAATATGGTACGTATACGTAGCATATAGCATACAGAATACATAGCAATATAGCAGTAATAGAAATTAGAATATACAATATACTAAATTTAACTATATATAGAAAGCTTTTGTATTCATTACTCGAATAAATATATATACGTATAAATTACTCAGCAATAATAAAAAAGAAAATTAAGATTTGTATATGCGATGATCAGAATCGAGTAACATTTACACCATTTGAATCATTTTGTGAACGGACCGAATAATTTTAATCGCTGCGATACAGAAACGTTGTCAATAAAAGGCCATTGGAAGTCAAAATTAATAGTACCATTTATTGAAGATAATTAATAACATAGACGATATAATTTTTATTTAGTTTTGAAAAGATACTAGAGTTATTAATGGATTGGGTTGATTTTCAACCTAATTCATTAAATTTTCTTCAGATTTTACTTCGGAACTACACCAGGCTGTTTAGATATATTTTTAAACCTGAATATGCTACATCAAATAAGTACGTACCTTTATATCAAGCGAACATCAACCTTTAAGCCTAAAATTTATGATCCGGAACCAATAAAATTGAGATCTCATGTAAAAAAAAAAAAAATTAACATGAAAATTACTTGAATGATCATTCTTAAACATCAAATATATAGAAAAGATCTAATATATTTTCTAATATATTCTAGAACCAAGTATTCTGATTAGAAGGTCCGATTTTCGCTTGAAAAGAAATGATCATAGCACGTTTAAAACAGGTTTTGTACTCTAAGCAATTGATCTCAAAAAACACGTAAGTACGTATGAAAACCAGTTTTAGACGTGTTACCATTAAGTACCTCTTTCCAAAACCTTAATAGAAAATTCTACATATCGATCGATATTATTTGTTTGAATTTGAATGATATAAAAAGTCGTTTGGTTCTGATTAATACATGATACTGTATTGGGTATATATTTAAAAATAAAAAGTATTTCATGCATCTAGAGACCGGAATTAAACACCATTCAATTAATAACCTTAGTGAAATAAATCACGAATGGTGCCAATTTTGACCAATAGATGATGATATATGCTATTACGTTATCAGCCACGTACTCATATATCTGCATGCAAAAACCTAAAAAAACTCGCATTAGTGTCAATTCTTTTGATTCGACACCCGGGAAACATTGTAAAATGATGAAAATTCGCAAAGCTAAATTGAGAGTAACTTGTGACAAGTAAAAAAAGATTTTCTAATACTGTAATAAGAATTATGCCGCAATACATCCACATATGATGTGTCTCTACCCCAATTCTCATAAGCCACCATGACCTTTATAATCGATAGGAGGTTAAGCCTTTATAATATACAAATCCACGAGATTATCATTAACTAATTGCGAAATTAGGAATTTGGGAAGACACGAAGAAATAATAGATTATTGTATGTACTAATTTGAAATAGAGATTCTGAAAAGATGGAATGAAAAAGTATTGTCATTCATCACGCTATATATATGTATATATCTGATATATCGACGTATATATATATCCGATATGTACATGTGTATGACACGTACATAGATTGATATTTATTATATATCGATATATATAGTAAATATATATCGATATATTACAATAATATATAGATATTTTATACGTACACATGACTAAAATAATCTATTGATTCGCTATAGATTAACTCTATTGAATTAAAGAAACGTAACACTGAAATTTAGTAGAATGAAAATATTACTTCATGGGAACACTAAGAATAAAAGGTACTCTATTTGTGAGAACCCGCCAGAGCTGTAACATTAATTCCTAATTCGGTCTTAACACGATTTACATGCGGAACTATAAATAAGTAAAGAATTTACATTTGTACATTTTTCACATCTTTATTTTTTTTTTTTCTTAAGGTAAATATTCGATATTCGATAGTAAAAACTAAAACATTTCAATTTCAAGAAATATCATACCATCAATACCATGGGAATCTTAACTTTTTTCTCGAATCCCGAGGGAGGAAAAGCGTCTTTAAAACATCCTTATTATCCAACCGATCTTAAGGTTATAAGAATTATTGGTTGTTTTTTTTCATCAAAAAGATTGATGAATGGTTTGATGAACTAACGTAACCGCTACGTAATATCCTCTCATTTTTTTCGGCATTTACCGGAACCCATAACCATTATTCACATATTTCCAATCAACTCACGTTATCTCACGTTATCTCACGTATCCCACGTATCTGGTCACCTTATATCCCAATCATCTCACGTTCATATTAAAACTTATACGATGCGAAAATATCAATAGCTTCCAAACTACACAGAACCAACACACTCAACAGCACTCATTTTAATAAGTTTTTTATTTGGAGTCATTGTGGTATCAGGCATATCCCTAGCGATAATCATTCCTAAACAAACGGTCGTACCAAAGCATAAGGGAATCTTTGTATGGTTTATCATAACAGGATGCATTCATTTCTTTTTCGAAGGATATTTTGCATTATTCCATAAAACCATTGCAGAAAGTAATGGATTATTGGCACAAATGTGGAAAGAATATGCGTTGAGCGATTCAAGATATCTAACTAGTGATCCTTTTGTAGTGATTATGGAAAGCATTACTGCAGTATGTATTGATAGTTATTATTCTTTTATTATTACTGTTATCTGTTATTATTATTCTTACTTCTATTATCATTATTATTCGCTATTATTATTATTGTTATCATTATTACTAATTATATTATTATTATCATTATTATTATTATTAATTATATTATTAATATTATCATTATTATTATTATTAATTATATTATTATTATTATTACGTTACTATTATCATTTATGCTGATTTACATTATCTCACCATCTACACTTATTTTTTAATTAATAGTTGTTCTGGGGCCCATTAAGTTTTCTTACAGCATATGCTATCTACGAAAACTTGCCATTCCGTTATATTTTACAAATAATAGTATCTTTAGGTCAACTTTATGGATTAGTTTTATACTATTTCACCGAATTAATGGAGGGTACAGCACATTGTAGACCTGAAGGATTTTATTTTTGGGCTTATTTCTTTGGAGCTAATTTTGTATGGGCTATTGCTGCTACCACCTTGATTTGGCAAGGATGGTGTCAAATAGTTAGTTCTCCCAAGAATGATAGTAAGAAGAAGAAATCTAATTAATTTTTTTTTTTAAAAAAAAACAGGTAATTTCGTGTATTGTATTTATTTTATTTGGGAATTAGGATATGAATGTGTTAAAGTTTTATCATGGGAATAAGGGTTAATGTGATAATATAATTGCTCTAACGTAGTATTTATCAATTGCGTAACTTCATTTTAGCTTTATATATATATATTTTAGTGTTTTTGTCGTATAATAGTGTAGACATTCATTTATTTTTTATTTTTTAATATGTATGCTACGTAATAAAATATAATTAATATTAATATATATAAGTTCTTTCATGTGACTTATTGTATCTTTTTGACGCACGCATACGTACAGTGGCGATCATAAATAAATGAAGTAAAAAAAAAATTTTTGTACGTAGATCGCATTATCTCGCAATTTCGGTATCTGTTAGCTTTTTTTTTTTTTATTCGTCAATATTAAAAATTTTAATCATTGCCAATTTAAAGATAATCGAACAAGTATTACGAAACACGTGATGCATTTTTTTTTCGTTTTAAACACAACACGAATATAAAATAAAAAAAATTTTTTTACATATAAAAAAAAATTTTTTTATTTTATTTTAATAATTTATGACCATTACTATCTGGCGTATTTATCTCGTATTGTTTATGAAAAGGACAGATCAGGTCAATACGGGTATCAATGCTGATTTCTTTCGAGCCACCTAAACCATGCTTCAAAGATCCTTCTCACTCAAAATTGGAATAGAAAGTGCCTATGCAGATGATCGATCAAGATTTAAAAAAAGGAACAACCAACATAAAGCCTTGAACTGATTATTTTTAAATCATTATTTTATTATCATTACTATATATTTGACTTATTATCTAATTAAACAAATAATTTTGTGAATATTATTATATTCATAATCTCTGATGGTATTTGTAAATTCTCACAAAAAATCCATTAGCAAAACTCATTATTCATTGTGCAGTCGAGCTTGCTAAGGCCTTAGCATGATTAAATATAATGCAACATCATATATTATTATAAATTCTACAAAAATCCTATTTAAGTTTAATTTAAAAGCTATTTAATAACTTCTCAGAATATTTTGATCAAAAAATATTAAAACTTTGATTCATTAGATTGAATTACCTAGAATTAGCTTTGACGAAGTGATTTTTTTACTTGTATTTACGTCGATAGAGTTTTTTTTGCTTAATACTAAACTATAGTTTTTAAGTATAGAAAGAATAATTAGCTATTGAAACATAAAATATCTTTGGTAAAACCGTACTTAAATGACAATTAAGTGACAAGTGAAGATTATTCAAGTAGGCAACTAACCACTTTTACAAAAAAAAAAACCATGAAGTTAATATTATGCACCCAACCTATCACCTTTGTAGTATATCACTTTTACGCCGAAACAAAAAATCAATTTACATTTTATCGTTTATATGTAATTATGTGATACAATAAGTGCATATCTGATCCTTGCCAAAAACGATCAAAAGCGATTAAAATTTTTAATCTTGAAAAAAGGTACCATTACGGATATAAAAAAAAAAAAAAAAGCTAACAGATACAACCGGAATTGCAAGAGGAAATGCGATCTAACCATTTTTTTTCTCCACTATTTATGATCACTGTATATATAACGATAATGCAGTAATGCTAGAACTAAAAAAGTACCTCGCGCAGATAAACCTAGCATATGTATCACATATCGCGCGAAATGATTCCCATGAGACCAAAAATTCACAGATTGTTGTGATAAACCAAAAATCCATAGATTGTTGTGATAGACCAAAAAATCCAGATTGTTGCGATTTTCTTTGCGAAATGAATATAAAACTGACGTAATTATCTCGCGTAAAAGTCGAAAATTTATCCAAATCATTAATTATTGAGCCAGACAATTATGAACAGAGGTGAATATTTATTTTTAGATTTAAATAAATCGATTTAAATGAGTAAATATTATGAAACGCTTGCAGAATTAAAATTAATCATTAAAAAACTGAGCCTTATAATATCCATTTATGTAGAGGTATAGTTGTCTAGGCAAGTATTGTGAATATTAATTTTTTCATTGTAATTTTTTTCTATTTTATACTTATTTGATCAATTTTCTTCACAATATATTAGGTGGGGGAGGTTTAAGTTCTTTAAATATGG